TCCGTCAAAAGTATCCTCAGGTTTACACTAGTGATGATAAATTCCTGATAGATGTTGACTCAGTTAGGGTTGAAAAAAATCACTTTATAGAGGCCATGGCAACTATTACTCCTGCTGCCCATAGAGGTTCAATTGTGCAATCCAGGCCATTATCTTTAGTAGTTGCGCCATGCCTGCAGAGACATCTCCAAAAAGCTATAAATTATATCTCAGATATTTTTCCTCCTCTAACTGTATCATCAGAATTGACAAAGCTTTCAATGCTTTCTTATGGATCAGCAATTCCTCTTGTTTATCGGCCTCGGCTGTTGCTGTGTGGCATTGAAGGTTCTGGGCTGGTAATTTCTTGGACCCTTCTGATTCTGACCTTATTGATCCTCAAGGGACTACAGACTAAATATACTTACTGATTTAGTTTCGCAGGATCATCTTGGGCCTGCAATTTTACATGAACTGGAAAAATTTCCTGTTCACTCTCTAGGACTTTCATCTCTTCTTTCTGATCCTAGCGCAAAGACCCCCGAGGAGGCATTAGTGCATATTTTTGGTGAAGCAAGGAGAACAACACCATCCATACTCTATATGCCTCAGTTCAATCTTTGGTGGGATAATGTGAGTATCTATTTTTATTTTTTAAGATTTTAATATCTGAAAACAAGTTTCAAGTATCTCCCTAACACATGTTAAAAAACAAGGATTGTACTTGAAGGATGTTTGATATCTTAGTTTTTTTTAGTCTCTTATGCTTTTATTACTTTTGCAGGCACATGAACAGCTCAGGGCTGTTCTACTGACTCTGTTGGAAGAATTGCCATCGGACTTGCCCATACTGTTACTTGGAACATCTTTAATTCCGCTCGCTGAAATAGATGGGAATCCACATTCAGTATTTCCTCAACGTACAGTGTATGTGTTAGTTCTTTCAGAAACAGCTATTTCTTCTAACTCTTGCTGCTCAGTCTTTTTTAAATACTGGGGTTGACTATTGCTATCATAAGAGATTGTATTTGAAAAATGAAACTGTTTTTATTTCGGAACAGCCATTCCTTCCTATTATTGCTGCTGATTTTTTTTTTTAATATCTGGATTGACCATTGCTATCATACGAGACATTGTATTTGAACAACACAACACTTTTTGTTTCTGTCTTCCTTCGACATTATACATCTGTTGGTTTGGGTGTTGAAAATATGTCGTAATTGTTTATGCTAATATGATCTGTCCGAATGCTTCTTAGACTCTTTAAGTGATTTTAATAAGAATTAAAGATCATTAAATTAAGGTTTTGAATCTCTCATGCTAGCTGGTTGGGTTGCTCAGATAGGACTTCTTATATGTCTCAGTTTATCTAAATGAAGATCATAAAAGGTCTCAAATATCTCTGATTAAACCAGCTACATTTTTTAAAAAAAAATAAAAAACTAGCTATAATTTTGATTCATTATGGCCCTCCACCTGCAGTTCATGCTTTCTATACTTGTGTTTTCTCTGCGATCTGATTGATAAACATAAATTGTGAATTTATTGCTCCATACAGATTAACATAAATTGTGAATTTATTGCTCTATATAACTTTATTTTACAAATTTTCTAACACATCTTTTAATTTTTTGACTGCCTAAGTTCATAATCGCACATTTCTTTGCCTGTCAGATACCAAGTGGACAAACCATCTAGTGAAGACAGATCTTTGTTTTTTGACCGTTTAATTGAAGCTGCTTTGTCAGTCTTGTTTGAGGGTGTAACAAAAAAATCTCAGGAATCAGTATCTATTCCTGAGCTTCCAAAGGCACCGAAAGTGGCAAGTGGCCCTAAGCCATCAGAAATAAAAGCTAAGGTGGAAGCTGAGCAGCATGCCCTTCGCCGATTAAGAATGTGCCTTAGAGACGTTTGCAACAGGTAAATCTATTTGCACTAACTTTATTACCTCTCCTAAGGATTCGCAAATCATCTTTCTTAGTTACTTGCTTGACTTATTTCATATGTTATATAATAAGCAACTATATAATAAGAAACAGTTGTTTGAGAGCACAAGAAGGCACTTGAAAAAAGATAGCTGCTGTGCGAGACTCAATACTTGAAAAAACCAGCATGCACAGATTTCCTCTTGTGGAAAAAGAACACCAGAAATAGATTCTTAAAAAAATCCTGGACTAACTATGACATCTTTGTGCCTAGCTATATCAAACGACCTGGGCAATCTTTTCTTCAAAGCAGGTCTGCACCAGGATTCTCACCAATTGCCAAAATAATAGTCCCCTTTATGCATCTGGAACCCAGTCGATTTTAGACTGATATTAAGCATTGGGATTTAACAACCATGTCAAAAAACGTAGTTGTTTTCATTCACTATAATGTTTGTTATATGGTTGCAGGATATTATATGATAAAAGATTTGGGGTCTTCCATTATCCAGTCACAGATGAAGATGCTCCAAATTACCGTTCAATAATCCAGAACCCTATGGATGTGGCTACTTTACTGCAGCGTGTTGACTCTGGGCAGTATATTACATGTTCAGCATTCTTACAAGATGTCGATCTCATTGTGAACAATGCAAAGGTGTGTATTCAAGATTTTAAACTGAAGTTCCTAGATGCAAGTAGAGACAGATCTGGAAGCCATAACTCCTTAATGGCAATAATTTTCATGGTTGATTGTACTGTAAAAGGCTGAGCAAACTTTTCTATTTGTTGCGTAAAAAGAAAAGGCAAGATGGAGTACATCATCATCAGTATCGTTTGTTATTTCTTATTGTTATCATCAATATTAGCATTGTGTGGAGGAGTCTTTTGCCTATTATGTCCTTAAGCAAGAGATCAGAAAACTTCTAGCTCATAGGTCGTGATTATTTTGTGAAAAATCTGTGTTCAGAAATAATAAATAGTCATTATACATAAGAAAGTAACTGTTCCTCAGTTAAAAGTTATTTCATCAGCATAAATTAGCAAGAACATCAACTCTTTTCTCGGTTTATTTATATTTGTACATTGTATTGATGCTTGTTTTTCTTCGGAAGCTAGCTCTTATTATGTGAAGCAGCGCATGCAGTGGACTTATAGCATTTGAAGCTCATTAATCTTGTTTGTTGTCTGTTCAGGCTTATAATGGAGATGATTACAATGGAGCAAGAATCGTTAGTAGATCTTATGAGCTCCGGGATGCAGTATGATTACTTCTTCCTTGGATATCCTAATGATTTCATTGCTTCAGGAGCGTGCTTTTCTCCATTTCTCGAAAATGGCGTAATACTTAATCAACTTTTCAGGTGCATGGAATGCTGTCACAGATGGACCCTGCACTGATTGCATACTGTGACAAGATTGCAGTCCAAGGGGGTCCATCACAAATACCAGATGAACTAGGGGGTTCCATTTTTCCTCCAGCTCCTGTTGTCCAGCTTGGAACAGTAACCAGAGCAAGTGCTCGACTTCGCAATGTGCAACCAGAAGTTAATCTGGATCAAAGCTACGAGGCCCTGAAAAGGCCAAAGAAGAGTGTTGATGCTGCACATCCAGGTTTTCAATTGCTTAAATTTTTTTTTTTTAATTTGAAAATACTAAGGTTGAAAGGGTTTTAGATGACTCTGCTTACTGTTTTTGTGTCTGTCAGCACCGGCAGAAGATAAATCCCAGCAACAAGATGAACCTGAGGCATCTGACGTGCATCTGGCTTCGACTCCTGCTGACAATGATTCCCGAGGAACATCTGGAGAAGTGTCTGGTCAAGCAGATGGGAATGGATATCAAGTTGTTACCATGTCAGATGGTCAATTTTTGCGTGAGTCGGAATCTGTCAAGCAGCTTCTTCTGGGGCGCACTGAAAACTATGGCATTCCGCAGCTTGAGAGGCTGTACACACGCATCATGAAGGGCATTTTTGAAACCAAGGATATGGGGATTCAAAATGACCAGAAGCGTTCAATTTTGAAATTTTTGATGAAATTTGCTGAGAATGACGCAAATTTCTGATGCCAATACCTTTTCTCCGTAGGATCACAAAGAGAAAAAAAAGCAAAGACACAAAATTAGGATTCAAAAAAAAAAAAGAAAAAAACAGAAAAGAAATCCTTCTAGTTAGATGATGTAAAGTCGGGATTTTCTTTTCAATGCAAAATATTTGAGTGAAGGCCCTCTCTCTAATTTTATTAGATTAATCATTTAAGTGTCAGATTGTGTTGGGAGGAATGGACCATTTTTATGGAGTGTATATTTAGTGGAATAATGACTAGAAATTTAATTGTAGACGATGAGAACTTCAACATAGTTTTCAGTGAATTAAACAATGGAATTAAAATTTATCAACTAAAGTAGGTTATGTTTCGAAGATGTAAGTAACTCATATAGGATTAATTTTAAAATTTACGTTATACAAGAAAATATAATCGGGTTATATTGTGTTAGTTTTATTTATAATTATGTAGGAAGCCAACTTTTATAACCTTTTGACAGATTCTTACTGTAATTAATTAAAGAAATTAAAAATATATCCTATGGATAAAATTGATTTCTTCTATATGTAATATACAGTCTATGTCTCTGTACCACTTCAACCATGGAGTGGAACATACAAAATATTTCCTTTATACCGACTATTCCTTTCCCTAGATTGCACCAAAACCTTCAACTGTATCATCTGAGCTTTTACTGAAATTGCCCTTTCACCCTCCGTTACCTACATGAAACGGTTAAAGAAACCTTTTAAGATCTATCTCTAATTAATGTCAGATTTCTGCTTCACAA